ATTTTAAGTGAGCTGAGCATCATTCAGACTCTTCTATTCCTCGAATCGCAGTTATGAATACTGCAAATTAAATCGCTTAATAAAAGACCCCGAGAAGGAATTTTTTTATCTCAGCTATCTAAAGTATGTGTCAGCGGACCCGCAGATTGGCAGTTCAAATCATATGCCTCAAGTCTGCTCAAAGGTCAACAGCAAGGTCACTCCAACACCTTAATGATGACTCTGAATTTGAAAACTAGAAGATAGCACGTCCTAATCTAGAACAACTAATTAACTATATCCCTCCCCCCCCCGTAAATATGTTAACTAAAATACTACCCTCTTATAACCCAAATTAGTGATAAACACTATACCTTTCTTTCCCGTGCATTATAAGTAGCAATAAGAGTAAAATCGACCGATAGCTTAGTCGTATAAGTTATATGATGAAAATGATGTAAACTCACACACAGTAAGAAACTTTCAACCAATTTCCATAAAGCAGTTATTGCGCGACTCCTTAATATTAATCAAGAAAGGGAACATATTAGAATGCAACAGACTCCAATTGGAACTATTGGTTGAATATACTCCCAACGCAAATATTGCCTCAGACAGTCCAACTAAGACATTCCATTCACAAATTGTCATTCACTGGCTGCAGTACATGTATCGGATAGACCCCCCGTCTCAATTTAAGAGTTTCAATGAGTCTATGAAGATTGAATAACGACAATATTGAGTGCTATAGTAGACGATTATCAATTGTTTTAATAACTGGAAAAATTACGGTTATTTTTAAGCGGTTCCTATCAACCACACAAAAAACAGGTTCAACTATACATGAAAAACCTCATTAAATATTTTAAATGAATCTCGTTTAATGTGACCTAAGTTCTTCTACATAACATGGCATTCCAAGTTCTTGAAAAAATATCGTTATTTCATAATTATTAAGATATCTAGATGCACTATATATATATATATTCAATATCGTAATAGTTAAAGTTTGTCTTACCTTGTGTAAACTTCACTAGACTTGTTGAAGGAATCTTATCTTGAACGGTGCTTCCAACATAAACTATCATAATTCTGGAGCAGCAATGAAAAACTGTGCAAAGATCTATAGTAAACAGATAATTAGGATTCAGAATCACAGCACAACCATACATTATAATGACTTGTAAAAGGACATTTTATCAATTACTATTGCAGCATATTCTATATTCAATACATAAATTCTAACCAATAATACATTTTAGACTATGTAGTCAATAATTTGTTACACACATTTTTCTGTAACATTTCATGTCAATGTCAACAGAATATATTTTTCATGGAGCAGTTTTTTAATAAATTTCTTCAGTCAAATTTAACCAAACTTGAATGTTTAGCATGTCGTGAACGTATATTTATAGCACATTTTTTGCATTTTAAATTGCGTTACTTATTATTTCTTGTTTGTCATAAATTAAAAAATACAAAATTTTATCTGAAAAAGCATGGAAGTTGATTTTTATTCCCTAATTATACGTCTCAGTAGAACTCTGAAATAGTCTCCTAGGTGTAAATTCATTATAAATATAAAAGAGGAGTACACAGTAAAATTGCGTCTGGCAGCTCTATAAATTGCTTAAATAAAATAATCGAAAAACATTTTATTTTTTGAGATTTCAGCTGTACTATTTGTCATTTTCCCCTTTTAATCCAATACAAGGTTGGTTATTTAAGTGACACTTAAAATTTTAAATCTTCTAAAAACTGAAAAAAAATATTAATAAAAACCTTGTACTTGATATTATTCTGTAAATGCATTGTCTTTATGTAAAAATTGAATATTTCCTGATTATCTACAAAAACATGATAAATCGTCAAATCATTGGCGATTTTGTGAATTGGTGACGTTTATTTATTTGTCCATATGCTGGAGATAATAATTTTATTCGACATTTGTGCGTTAACTGAGATCATCCCAATTATTGTTGAACAAAAAATCCAATTTCTGCTGAAATTCGGCTCTTTCTTTCTCGCCAAACGGTAATTATCCTACAAAATGTTCTCCTCTTATTAAAATTTAACTGGTGAGAAAAAAGTCACTGATTCACGAAATGTTGGTGACATATAAAGCTTATAAATCCACATACAT